GAGATAAGAGTCTCATGGACTTTCCTGCCTGGGCTGGCTTTGAACCACAATCCTCAGATCTCAGCCTCCTGAGTAGCTAGGATTACAGGCATGAGCCACCGGCACCCGGCTCAGCTCCACTTTTTTTTGTGCTTTTCTGGTTCTTAATTGGAGATAAGTCTCATGGACTCTTCTGCCCTGGCTGGCTTCGAACTGTGATCTTCAGATCTCAACCCCTGGAGTAGCTAGGATTACTTACCTTTTGCCCCCCACTACTGAGCTGCCCCTCCAGGAACTGGCATTGGTGGTTAGCCTTTCTGCTGTGCACCGGAGCTCCTTGGAGGCCCGATTCCCTGGGGCTTGGGTGTGCCAAGTCATTGAGATGTGGCACCGGAAGGGAGGAGAGCTGGCGAGTGGGGCTGCCCAGTGCTAGGAAGGGTGGTCTTGGTCTCTCAGCCTGCTGAGGGCCACAGGAAACAGCTCCAGACCAGAGCTCTCCGTATCACATCAGTCATCCGGAGTGGCCAGGGGCTGCCGTCCCAGCCCCTCTGTGTGCCCTGCGCTGAGGGGTGTGTCCAGAGCGCCTGGCTGGCCCCTGCCCTATCTGTACCCCACGGCCAGGACAGGGTCACCCCACTTCCGCACGACCTGATGGGTCAGTACTGGCCAATGGCCTAGCTGGCTATGTCAGCCTCCTCCGCCTCGCCCCCTGCCAATGGCCTCCACAGTGGCGTCTCCCTTGACGCCTCGAATGACAGGATTCAGAAGGCAAAAGTGCTAGGACTGCTGGGCACCAGCAGCTCCCACCTAGCTTCTCCCGAGTCTGAGATCTGAGGACCCAGGAGTGAAGCCAGCCCAGGCAGGGACATCTGTGAGGCTCTTAGTGCCGGGCGCGCTGTGGCTTGGGTGGTAGTGGCAGCAGCTGCCTCTGCTCCACACCGCAGCCCGGCCTCGCACTGTCCACCCAGCGCCCTCTTCCCGCTCCACACCGCGGCCCGGCCTCGTGCTGTCCACCCAGCGCCCTCTTCCCGCAATGTCTCCAGGCCACCTTCCTACCTACATCTCACTTTGTTCTCCTACAACTTCTGCCCTGAAAGTTAAACAGAGTTCCTTTGGGGTGTGGATCGGGGTCCAATTTTCATTTGATTTCTTGGTTTACTTGAGTTTGTGGAGTACAACTAGCAGCAGGATTTTAATAGTCTCTCCCCCTCCCCACCTCCTACCCCCTGCCAATGTACCTCTCCCAGGCCAAGGGACACAAAACACCTTTCGGGTCCCCTGCATCCCACGTGACGGTTGCTAAGCAACACTCCAGAGCGGTGCTGGTGAGTTCCCAAGCCGAGGCCCTCCAGCTGCCCCTGGCCACCCAGGCATTCTGTGCAGCTAAGCAAATATTGCAAAGCCGAGGCCTGTGTGCAGCTTTGCCTGCCCACGATGTGGGGGGCTGATTGCTATGACGATAGCCCCCCATTCCCCTTCCTTGTTGCGGTGATTGAGGCCAGGACTACTCCTGTTGCACAAATGCTCTCCGCTGGGCCCTGCCACGGCCCCTCACCGCACTTCAGGCACTGTCGGGTGGG